ACACACACACACACACACACACACACACACACACACACAAAGCCGCTAGCTCAAACCCACAAGCGGTCATAGAAAAGCAATTGGTTCGAGCTCCCTCATCCTGTCTTACTCATTTGCACATACACTTCCAGAGAAACAAACACATACATACTCATGCACACACACGGATGGTCCCTCAGGGGATTTCAGCTGGTCTTGCCAGGCTAAAATTGCTGCACAATGGCCCAGGGGGTGCGGGACATGAATAAATCATGCCTCAAAAACATTGAGCACGATAACAAGATGCAAACACTTCATAACATGCAAAGGCAAAATGAAACGGCTACTTGAGGATTTGCGACTGAACCCCGATAGAAAAATGCACCACAACAGGTTGCGTTAATCCCACAAAACTATTGCTAAACAAACGCAGCAGATTTTATGATCTACTCTGCCAATAGGCTCCTCTACATCTTGCCACCACGCAAGCACGTTTGAGTTAGACGGGACAGAGAAAGCTGCCACTGTCATCCAGAATATTATGGCTCCTGTAATTACCTCTAAACATTCATTTGGTTAATGACTGTGTGTGGAAATTCCTGCCATCCAGCAGCCATCACAATAACAATGGAGGATGGAAAGCTCAGATAAAAAGCACCACAAGCATCCACATCAAATAAGTCTCCAATTGTGGTGCATCCAGGTTAGACAGATGCAAGGCTGAGCAGCCATAAATACGGGACAGTCTCCTACAGAGAGGAAAAAAAAATACACAAGGCTCAAAATAAGCAGTTTCACATCGTAGTTCATGAATTATAATTAGCAATATGGACTTTATTAAAACACATTGACTAGAAAAAGTGAGAATCAATGAATCAAATTCTTGCAATTTTATCTTCTCATCTTATCGTGTTGTCAGGTTACAGGGTGCATGAAGAGGTTCAAAGGAATGAAAATGCCGTTCCGGTCTAGCCCCAATCCACAAAAACAACTAAAATGTTGTAATATTTTTGAATAAGGGAAGTACAGTAAGACTCTGAAAATTCGTAAATTTTTATTTGCAAGTCAAAGTATAACGAACGATTGCTCATATTGTGATAAACTCGAGTTGGGCCACTTGCACTTCAAGGCACCATTGTATAAAGAGCACTTCTTAGTACAGTTGTACTCCACTGCAAATGACAATTACATGAATGAACGTATTGTTAAGAAAACTCGGAATATTCACAACGGGACATGCAGACAGGAACCCCTGCTCCACCGTCTTTCACACTTTTACAGTCACCATACAAAACCAGTTACTAGTCTTGTCCGGACAGGATGGTTGCAAGCTGCAGTTATTTCTCACCAGCCTGTGCAATTAGCTGGAGTTAAAAGTAAAATATTCCCGAAGGTCAAAGCTGTGGCTTTTCCTGACGGCACACAGTCTACATAGAAACACACACACAGATATGATCTGGTGGTGCTTGCTAAAGATTCTGGATTAGCTCGAAAGACCCCCCCCCCCACACCCCAACCACCACCACCAAAAGTTTGTCACCAAGCGTAAACAAGCCATACACAACATTAACTTCCCACGATGCAACGGGACTAACGTGCGTCACTGAGGGCTCTTCGTTTGACACATGAATGCGCCTCACTACACTGTTGACTGAATATGAAAGTGTGTGTGTGTGTGTGTGTGTGTGTGTGTGTGTGTGTGTGTGTGTGTGTGTGTGTGTGTCTCTCCCTCACTCCTCACTTGTGTGTGTGTGTATCCCTCACTCTCCACTCACTGTCGCTCCAGAGTCCCCAGCCTGACCCAGTGACCTGCGAGCCTCCGATGTGCTGTAAGCACAACCCCCCCATTATAGATCATTACAGGACTTATGTGCCAAAGTCTACTTTGCAGTTGCACAATCGCGGAGACAAATGACACAGATCATATTTCAAACTGAAGCTGCAGGCATTTATTTTCTGCTTGATGGGTGGGGTGGCATCTATCATTCGCATGTTTGGTACATTATCAAACACTATTACAAGTTAAACTGCCGATTAAAACGATACAAAAAGTAGACTCAAGGACAAATGCAGAGAAATGACAAGAACCGAAGCAGACGAAACATAAGCAAAGCACACATTGTGGAGCAACGACGTCCAAGTCAATGCTTTCCTGATCATATCCAAAAAATATCAAAATAGACTTTAAACAGGAAAAACAAACTCGTTTACAATATGCGGTAAGAATCCAACACAACAATTAATCTGAGGGACTCTTAATAGGCAGATGCTGCTGCTTTGGTGAGCAACAGAGTTCACTTAATAATGTGAATTCCTCTAGGGGAAATTCTGCTCACACTCTGATGCATATTTGTGTTGTGCACCACACAGAGAACCAGATCTCGCGCACGCACGCATACACGCACGCGCGCACGCGCACACACACACACACACACACACACACACACACACACACACACACACACACACACACACACACACACACACACACACGGTGGGAGGGAGATTAGGGTTAGGGGAAGGGGCATCTCTCCAACAACGACTTGCCTTTTCACATTTGTCCACAGTGGGATTCAAATTGTGGCGCTACAGCCTTGTTTCTTTTTTTGGGGGGTTAATGATTTTAATGATAATGTTTGGTGGTGAGACAAATATACTGTTTTTTTTTTTTTTAATATAACTGGAAAAGAAATGGGTGTCTTTAGCGGATGATGCACCCAGCAATTTATCTATCCATTCTACAAATTGTGTAGAACTGGATATAAACTGTCTGGTTTAGTTTTTTTTTTTTTTTTTAATATCATATTTCAACAGCTGACTGTCGCTTTCCTATCATGTGAAAATTGCATCTTTATACTCCTTCCTTGAATTTATGTTAAATATATCTGTGATTAGTTGGCAACAAGCCTGAAAGTCAGCTGGGATGGGCTGGGCTCACCCAAGATAGCAATGAGGACAAAATAAACAAACAAACAAATAAATAGATAAATAAATAGCGGCACGGTGATCAAATGGTTAATATGTCCGCCTCACAGTGTAGAGGTGCTGGGTTCGATTCCAGCTCCGACTTCCTTATGTGGAGTTTGCATGTTCTCCCCGTGCCTGCGCGGCTTTTCACCGGGTATACAGCAAATTGATGGATGGACAGTTTTTAAATCAGAAGTCGAGAATAATCGTTTGTTCAACTCCTGCTCAAGTTACTGTACATATGAAAATTTGAAATTTTGGAATAGATTTGAGCAAACATGAAAGTTGACATGCTTGATTTGCTTTGGCGGGCCACTTAAAATGATGTCGCAGGCTAGATCAGGCCCTCGGGCCTTGGGTTTGATACCTGTGTTTTAGAGACTGTCCAATTGAGACAAGTGACAACTAAACAAATGAATTAAACTAAATGTTGTACAGTTGAAGTGATGAGCTGCCTGTTTGACAGCAAATTCGTTTTTCCCAGGTAGTAAACGAAGTAGGAAGTAAATATCACTTAATGTGGGAAAGAACTAAGTAGAAATTAATGTCCTTACCCCTTGACTCCCCTCGAAACAGATAGACGGCTCACTTGGTAAATTAGCCTGAGATGAAAGAGAGAGAGAGAGAGAGAGAGAGAGAGAGGAAAAAACGCCATTTAAATGAGTGTGTGTGTATGGGGATGGTCTCTCATTCGGCGTCTTGCTAGTTAAGTGAAGCACATACTGCTGACGGATGACACCAACATACTTTGGTACAATGAGATAACAATTTGATGGAAAATTAAGCGGAGAGAACAACTTCTGACAAGTGCGTGTGTTCGGTAAGCACGGGCCACAGGTACCTTGAGGTTCTGGTAAGCCTCCAGAGCTCGAAAGGCAGTGTCGGTAAGCTTGACGTGGTAAAGTGTCCGGTTGGGTCCGTGTTTGTTGCTGCTGTTGTTGTTGTTGTTTTTCCCGCACGACAGCCCGTACGAGCGCTCCTGCCCGAGCGAAGCCATCGCTGGCTCTCCCTTTCGGAGTCTGCTCGCCAAATTAATGCTGCTTGGTCTCCAGCACTGCTCAAACCAGGGTACGTCAGTTAACGTCACAAAGTGGGCGGGGCTATGATGACGACATTAGTTTTTGCACGCGCCTGGCTACTTGGCTTCTTTTATTTGCTTTTCTTACAAGGGCCAGTATTCATTTCATTCTTATGCATTAGCAGGAATTCAATTTAAAATGTTCAAGGTAAGTCAAATTATTAGAATTATTTTCCCAGTTTGAATATTAAGAAGGAACCCGTCCTGTTTGTGTCACAATTCATAATAGAAATAGCCTCAAATTGATGGCTTTTCCCAAAAGTAATCCGAAATGCAACATAAAGATTTTTTTATGATGATTATTATTAATAAGTATCATAATAATACGTTTAAAATGTCTTTCTTTTTGTAGGCTACAGATGCTACAAATTTAGGGCAGACTGAAGTTGTTTTACTTAAAATTTCACTCCAGCCTATTCAAATGCAGGGTTTAGCTATACAGTAGTCGTTTTAGACAGTCTGTCGTAGTTTCCCACACAACTCATTGGTTGAGATGTGTCTCGACCAATGAGTTGTGTGGGAAACGGGAATAGGAACCACTAACTAACTAACTAACCAACTAACTAACTAACAGGCAGGAAACTGTGCTAGGGTCGATGTCTTAGCTGCTAAACATGTCACATTTTATACATGCAACTAATTCTACACTTTATTCTTTTTTTTATGGGACTGTTTTTTATTTATTTTAATATAAGTAATACAATACGCCTCCTTCCTTGCTAACTGAAATCCGAGTGTTTACAAGGCAGAGAGAAAGCGCACGAGTGACAACGGCGGAAGCAAAAAAAAAAAGGCAGGTGAGTCTGACAAGTATAAGCCTACTTAGTTAACTTCTTAAGCTACCGCTTGAATCAGGGTACGTAACAAGAGGAGGAGGAGGTTACTGTGGGTCAAAGGAGAGAGAGCAGGTGGTAGAAAAACATCACATACGTACAAACATTCAACGCAGCTTTGTTCATAGAAAAACAGTTCCTACTTTCTGGGAATGCACTGAAACATGAATATTGTCAGACATAAATATCTTCAAGTCAATAAAAAATGATGAGGGATTTAATTGTGATCAAAATCTAAACTACATATTTGCATTTTAAAAGTCCTTCCAAAATGAAATATTGTGGTTGAGTAAGTCAGATTTACCGATTTGAAGTTCTGGGTTTGGATCTCTGCATACCTGTTGCAAATATTATTTAAATGAAATATCATTTAAATGTACATTCTGAATCTATTATTGTGTTTATTTATTTATTTTTATTTTTATTTTTTTTACTGTCACGTTTGCCTGGAGGTCACATGTTGCTGGGCAGAATTTGTGTGGCAGCTATTTGTACCCTGATAAAAATGATCCATCTCCCCCGTCCCTAATCTCCCTTCGTTTTTTCTTTGACAATCATGATTTTTTTTTTTTTTTTGCATGGTCATCTGTTGCTAGGCAGTTTGAAAGGTATAAACATTGCATGCATAACAGGTGGGAAGGAGTGCTAGACATCCAAATAGAAATAAAAGATAGAAAGTGTTGAGATGTAATTTATAAAATGCAAACTCGCAATATTTTACCAGTATTCGTCTTGACAAACTGTTGCAGTTCAGCAAGATTCCTGAGAAGTCTGGTGTGAATAGCTCTTAGAATTCCATATCTGATTATAAAAAATATATATATAATTATAATAATGTACTACTACTACACCTGCAGAGGATCAGTGCAAAGGAAAGGAAAAAAAAAGCCTCAAAAGGAAAAAAGTTTGCGGAGATTTTCAGTCTTTCTGTCTCGGTTGCACACATATAGACACAGGCGTCTAAAAAGCAGTGTATCAGAGAGCCCACGTGTGTCGTGTTTTACTGAGATGACTTTACAGATGCCATGTTGACTGCTGTGATGCATCTTCCCATGCACGAGCATGCAGACAATCAAACAAGACCTCCTCTGTCCCCGCGTAACTCCAGAAACTACACGTTATTTTCACTTGTTCTATAATGTAATCACTTTAGTTCCATTCCGCTTGCAGCACGTTCTGTCTGGGAACATCATGCAGTAGACAACAATGAATGGAGTGTGGCGTCAGGAGAGGATCTGGTAATTGGGAGCAGGAGTCCGTGTCCTTTTTAAACCACAGGGGCACCGTGTGACAGAGTGATCCAATAAAAGTCAGACACCAGACTACTGAAGCGTTTATATCGAGGGACCAGGAAGTAGTGTGACATTGAGAGCATGTTTAGACTGACTTTTACTTCGAAAAGAATCCACACAGTCCAAAAAAAACCCTCAAATCCTATTTTGCACTTTTACATTCTGTTTCAAAACTATGATGTCATTTTTTTTTCAGTTTTTTTGTTTGGCTTGCTCTTTATACTCATTTTTGTTTTACATGTAAATCTGTGGGGCAGCAAGGAGGTCCAGTGGTTAGCGCATCTGTCACACGGTTCGAATCCCTGCTCCAGCCTTCCTCTAAGGCAGGGGTGTCAAACTCCTTTTTTGTCGCGGGCCACTTTCGAGTTATGTATTCCCTCGGAGGGCCGTTATGACAGTGAAACCACAAAAATGTTTCATTGCATCATCGCATTATTACTTGGAAGGGTAACAAAATGATTGCAAAATCTCAACATCATTTATTACATATGACAATTTGACATTTCGGTACATTTTTAAGCTAGGATCATGCAAGTTGACACACATGATTTTCTTTCGGGGGGCCACATAAACTGATGTGGTGGGCCGGATCTGGCCCCTGGGCCTTGAGTTTGACACCTGTGCTCTAAGGTGTTTGTATGTTCTCCCTGTGCTCCAGGTACTCCGACTTCTTCCCATATTCCAAAACCACGCGTCAGTAATTGATAGTATACTATGCATTGCTGATGAGCATCGCTGATGAAGTCACACTGCTTCCACAAAGCCGCCGCATGACGCATGTGTTTTTGAAGCCTGATTAGAGTTGTCTGTCACAACCAGGTAATCACGTGTGAAAGCCGCTGACGGAGGAAGGACTCTTATCTCTGAATTTATTACCGCTCACTGGATGCCTATTTTCCAGAGGCATGACTGGAGCCATCATATCCACGATCGAGTGGGCTTCCAGTGGCTCTGATGACTCATTTGGCCCACAGACGTCATCCGATTCAAGGGAGGTGACTTTAGAGTCTGCGCATCATTATAGTGTCTCCATTGAAAGACACTCAGTGTGGCCACAATATTAGATGCCCAATCCAGTGAGCTCCAAAAGATCTATCAAACATTTTGCCGTGACAAAGATAATAATGCTGAGTTTTAATTTACATACAGTGTGAAAATTATTGACAAAATGAGTTTCATAGAGTGGTTGTACATGGCTGTGGTGCATCATACTCTCAAGGGTCTCATACTCAATCTGAAAGGACTCAACAAAAAATTATGACTGACCGGTGCTGAAGACCTTGAAAGAAGGGATAACAAAAATAACAATTATGAATCAAATAAAATGGCAAATCTTTTTTTTTTTTAAATGATGGGTCACTATTTTATCATTGGTTGTGGAATTTATTGGGAATTTGTTTATTTTTGTTGTCAAATCTAACACAATTCTATGTATTTATGTGAAATATTAGGCATACAATTATAAATACCTTCGTCATATTTTGAATACGCCTCACAATGCAGAGGTGCAGGGTTCGATTCCGGCTCCGGCCTTCATGTGTTGAGTTTGCATTTTCTCTCCGTGCTTGGTTGGGTTTTCTCCGGGTACTCCGGTTTCCTCCAACTTTCCAAAAACACGCATGGCAGAATAATAGAACACTGTAAATTGTCCCTGGGTGTGAGTGTGAGCGCGGATGGTTGTTCGTCTATGTGTGCCTTGAGTTGGGCTGGCAACCTGTTCAGGATGTACCTCGCCTACTGGCCGAAGACAGCTGGGATAGGCGCCAGCACCCCCGCGACCCTTCTGAGGATAAACGGATTTGAAAATGGATGGACGGATTGATATTTTGAGGAAATGTATTATCCTGGCTCAAAAAGTGACAGGGAAACTTTGGATTAAATATATAATTGTTAATATTTGCATGAAGGTTCACATTTTTTATCATTTTGAAATGGCCAATACTTCTCATCCAATTATCTTTGTGAAGGAAGATTTATTTAGACCACAATTAAGCATTAACTACAATTTTTAACCTCATCACATTGGCTTTTATGGCCCTGGGCTTTGCAAGCAGACTCGCTGCTTCTAATTTCATCCTTCATAATATTTGTCTGCACCGTGTCCTCCCAGGGAAAAAGTCACTGTGCAGAGTTTTCACTTCTCAAATCAAGCGGAGCGGGAATTGTATGTGCCTATCCAGTCCGCTGTGCTCATCTTCATCATCTCCAGATGGGTGAGTGCTTCCCCTGTGTCCTACCACGCAGCTCGCTGAGACTTGTTGCCATGGAGGAAACTCCCAATTGTGAGATACTACTTATAGTGTCAGTCAGCTGGGAGTGTCTGATGGTTTATTGACTTAAGTACTGTACATTGGAGAAGGAGATTGTTCAATTGGCTCTGTATTAAATGTTATGCAATTATATGCTTGCTTTCCCACGATTTTTTTAGCAGTAGGCACTAACTCTTGTGACACAGAGATACCAAAAGCAGAACAAATTACGTGGAGGGCGACTTGTTTGACATAAACCATATATAGGCCATTCCTTGCTACCAGTGCCTTTTACTTCCCCATCAAAAGACTTAATATTTTACTTGAAGTAAACAAAATGCCCTTCATGAAAACACGTCCTCACGCAAAATACTTGTTTTCAGTCGCAATTAACTTGTTTATTCCTTTGTTGCTTTTTTGGCCCAGATGACCCATTAAATGACATCCCCAAATGAAATGATCAGTTCAGTCTGTCGAGGTTTTGCTTTCTCAAGAAAAGAAAAAAGGACCAATGAATTTACATTCTGAATGTGACAGTACACTTTTTGGGGAGAATTTAAAGGTGCAAAGTGATTTTTTTTTTTTTTAAAACCTCTATGTCGTACTCTTAACTTTCTACTCTGTTAAACTAAATTATGATTAAAGTAAACTATATATGAAAAGAACGCACTCATTCAATCTAAGTACTATACTGTATATACTAACCTTTGCTACTCAATAAAATACGGGTTTTAAGAGACACAATAGGATGAGGAGCTTGTTTATCCCTATTGTGAGAAGTCAGAAGAGGTGGCTCAGGCATCAGATCCGGATGCCTCCGAGACGCCTCCCTGATGAGGAGTTTCAAGCATGTCCCAC